CTCTGAGCAGACACAGTATCCACCTGGCTTCCTTTTCCTCGGTCTCCCGTTCTGAGCCCACAGCCCCAGGCCTGACTCTCTCGCAGGAAGACCTTGGAAGCGGTTCAAGCTTTGCAGGGTTCTGCCTGAGGCTGGTGCAGCCTTGTGGAGGGGCAAGGGGCAGTGGGAACCTGTCCCCAGTGCCCGCCCCAGGCCAGTGCTGGAACCGCCACCAACTTCTCCCTCTCAGCAGGTACCCCAGGGGGCTGCCTACCTGTCCATGGCTTCCTGGGAGCCATTGGGCAGAGGAAAGCAAGGCAGCTGACAGGCACTCCACTCCCAGGTTCAAGGTTTTCTCTTGAGATGGGGGCTCCTGAGCTCACCCCACAGCCTCTGGGAACATCTGGCGGCCTCTGGGACATCCCCGCCATGGGGGTCCCGTGGTGACCCCCATCCCCCAGTGGCAGAGTATAGCAACAGCTTCACTTTGGGAAGCCTCGGTCCCCTGGCTCAGTGTTCAGGTCACCTTTCTTGTCCAGAAAGAGTTGAATGACGGGCCTCTGGGGCGGGGGTCTAGTTGCCTCCAGCTCACACCCCCACACAGGACAAACAGAGCTTTGCTCCTTTTTCGTTTGCCAGTTTGTTGTTTGGGTCGATCCCTGCAGCGTGCAGGCTCTGCTCTCAGGAATCGCTCCTGGCGGGGCTCCAGGGTGGCGGGGATCAAACTCAGGTCAGCTGTGTGCAAGGGAAGCGCCGTCCTCCCCACGGGACTATCTCCCCGGCCCCCAAGACAGAGCTCTTCTTTCTCTGCTCTCAAGACCCTGGGCTCAGCCAGCAGCCCAGTCTCCATATTCCCCCGCACACCCCCCAGCACACACACGACCCAGGCCCAGAGGGTTGGGGAAAGCTGTCAGCCCCCACTCCCACCCCTACCCTCTGCCCCCCTCCCAGTTGGGCTCCCAGAACCAGAGCCAGGCACTAGATCTCCAGAACTCATACCACCACCCCAGCTGACTCTGGCTCTCCCCTGCAGGGCTCTTGGGGGTGACCCTGGCAACCACACCACTAGGTCCCCTTGCTAGACCCTGCTGGCTTGCGGTAAGAGAGGGGATTCCCGGGTCCTTGCTAGCTTGAGGACAGTCAGGATGAGCCAGTGCCCTGGGGAGAAGCTGGGATTGGGGTAGTGAGCAACGACCCAGTGAATGCCGGTCACCCCTTCCTGCTCCCAGGCCTGCACGCACAGGCCAGCAGGATGTCCCCGGGGTTTTAGTGGACGCCACGTGCACGTCTTAATATCTCAGGATGCCTGGCAGCTACTGTATTGTGCAGGAAGAGTCCAGGAATGCTTCCCCCCCGCCCACCGCCAACACACACGTGCGTGTGCGCGCGCGCACACACACACACACACACTCTCTCTCTCTCTTTCTCTCTCTCTCCCCATCTCTCTCTCATTTTCCCAGTGACACACACTCTCTCTCTCTCCCCCCTCTCGTTTTCCCAGTGACTCTCTCTCTCTCTCTCTCTCTCTCTCTCTCTCTCTCTCTCTCTCTCTCTCTCTCTCTCTCTCATGTTTTCCCAGTGCAAGAAGTAATGAAACATGCTGTCCAAGAGCGGGATTAACGAAGCCATGAGGTGTTTTCATTATTTATTTTTGAGAGGTGGCGTTTGGGCCAGACCCAGTTGTGCTCAAGGGCTACTCCTGGCTGTACTTACGAGTGATCCCCAGGCAGTGCTTAGGGGACTGTAAGTGATGTCAGGGATTGAACCGGGGTCAGTTGCATGCAAGCCTTATTGTGCTCTCTAGCCCTAAATAGTTTCACAAAAATAAATAAATAAATAAATAAATAAATAAACAAACAAGGGGCTGGAGCAATAGTACAGCGGGTAGGGCGTTTGCCTTGCATGCGGCTGACCTGAGTTCGATTCCCAGCATCCCCTATGGTCCCCCAAGCACTGCCAAGAGTAATTCCTGAGTGCATGAGCCAGGAGTAACCCCCTGTGCATCGCCAGGTGTGACCCAAAACAAAACAAAAAAACCCAAAATAAAACCCCACAATCTTTATTTAGACCCTTTTCCTTCCTTCACTTTTCTTCTTTTGTCCCATCTCACCCCAAACACACACACACACACACACACACACACACACACACACACACACATACACACACACACACACACACACACATCCATGGTGACTTGACTGCTCCTGAAAACAGCCAGGGAGCAGCTCAGTTGGAACCTGCTCCATTTGGGGCAGAAAAACAGAGTTCTGCACGTCGCGATCCTGAGGACTCACACCATCACCTCACCTGCAGGAAGGAATGGGAGACTCTGAGAACAGGGGCTTTCCATTCCTTTCTTCATTTTCGCAGCACACTTGTGCGAGGCCCAAGAAAACCCATGTGGTCAGAACACAGACAGCCCCTCGTGTTAACCAGCCAGCAGTGGCTTCCCAGCCTGTCATTCATTTCTCGTGGGCCCGGCCCACCTAAGTCCTCGGGAGAGGCGGGGAGTGCGGTGGAGGGGGGCAGAGGCGAGCGACCGAGCACACGCAGCGGGCCCCACCCAGGATCCTTTTCTGTAGGAACAGACCAGTGGGATGCAATTTCTGGAAATAAAAAAAATAAAAGAGCTCTGAATCTGCAGCCAGCTGCTGTCTGCTGTAGGCCAAGCCAGGCCATTTTAATTAACATCATTGTTCCGCTTCTGCAACCAAGCTCTCTGGTGTCCCCCGAGCAGATGGGGCCGAGCCAAGCGTATGGGTAAAGTGTGGTGGTGAGCGGCTCGGAAATACACGGACGAGGGCTGGGCTGCCGAGCCCTGCCAGCATCCCTGGGCCGCCCTCACGTGGCCGAGGTCTATCCTGAACTTCACTCCGCTACCTGCTCACCTGGAGCGATAGCACAGCGGATAGGGTGTTTGCCTTGCACACAGCCAACACAGCTGACTCGAGTTCGATTCCTCTTGGAGACCAAGAGTATCTCTACCAAGAGTGTCCTGCCCGCACGGCAAAGCCTGATATGCTACCCGTGACATGTTCAAAATGCCAAACACAGTAACAACAAGTCTCACAATGGAGACGTTGCTGGGCCTGCTTGAGCAAATCGATGAACAATGGGAGGACAGTGACAGTGTCTTGACTGACCCTGGGCACAGCCCTGGAAGGTCACTGGGGGCTGGAGCAATAGCACAGCGGGTAGGGTGTTTGCCTTGCACGCGTCCAACCCGGGTTCAATTCCCAGCATCCCATATGGTCCCTTGAGCACTGCCAGGAGTAATTCCTGAGTGCAGAGCCAGGAATAATATCTGTGCATCGCTGGGCGTGACCCAAAATCAATCTATCAATCAATAATAAAATTAAATTTAAAAAATTAGAAGGTCACTGTGGGTGCCCAGCAGGGGACTCCAGTCATTCTAGAAGCTGCTCTGTGAAGAGGTCAGAGCGATAGTATAGCAGGCAGGGCAGGCATTTGCCTGGCATGTGGCCGACCCAGATTTGATCCTTGGCATCATCCCTTATGGTCCCCTGAGCACTGCCAGGTGTGACCCAAAAACAAACAAAGGAAACCTAAACAGAGAAGCTCCTTTGTGCCATGTTGCCCTGTCTCAACCCTCCTTCCTTTGGGGGGTAGGGAGGTCCTTTCCAAGGACGGTATTTGTGTGTGTATATGGGTGGGTGATGGAGGTGGGTAGGAGGTGGGGGTACACACCGGCGGTGCTCAGGGATTACTCCTGGCTCTATGCTCAGGGATCACTCCCGACAAGGCTTCGGGGACCATAGCCGGTGTTGGGGTTCCAACCTGGGTTGGCCATGTGCAAGGCAAGTACCTTCCCCACTATTCTATCACTCTGGCCCCCTTTCCATGGGGTTTTAACAACCTTACAAGTGCTCAGGTGAGACGCGGTCCCCTGGAGTGCCCTAGGAGAGCAGGGGAAAATGTTCTTTCCCTGTTGGAAGTGGTGAGTGGCCGCTGACGGGGCATATTTAGTGATGACAAGAGAGCTGAAGTGTTGCCCTGGGTGAGGGGGCACAGGCCACCCCGTTCTCACCACCCTGAACCTTAGAAAGTGAGCTAGGGGACCCCCAGAGAGGGGAGGAATCCCCCACATTTCTGCTGGGGGCTTAGATCGGAAACCGGCTGTTCATGTGTGTCCCAGTCCCTGCTGACCACATTTAGGCTGCTCCAGTGCAGGCGGGGACTCCCGGGGCACCAGGTGTGTGGCCTCCATGCGGGGGGATGCCCCCACCCCCAGCTTTGACCCAGATAAGTGACCCTTGCAGGGACACTAACAGTCCTCACCTGGCACTCTCCACGGCCACAGCGCTGGTCAAATAAAACAACATAAAGGGCATGTGGGGAAACCACGGGCCCCAAACCCGGCCCCTCCCTGTCACTCTGGGGACTCGGACGGGCCCACCGCTCCGCTGGGTTAACGATCTCCATACCCCGAGCAAGCGGGCCCGTGTTTTGTGTTCTGGGGACATGTGTTTCGGCTGAAGCCCAAACTGTGGCTAATCTTCCTATTAGAGTCAGAGAAATCTGTTTTGGATCCAGTTGCTAACAGTTGCCAGAGTGGGTTTGCTCATCAGCGTGAGCCTGATGTGGGGAAGAGCCACATGTGCGCCGCGATGTCCCCCGAGGCGGACGGTGGGTGACCCCAGGACACTGGTGCTGCCCATATGGTGACAGGTGACAGGGACCCCCTGCCTCCTCTCCTCACCTTCCTCCCGAAGGAGGAGGTGGGGCTCTCTGCTCCCCTAGGCTGCCCACTTCACCCGCTCAGGAGAGAGCCCGGCAGAGCCCCCTGGGGGGTCGGGGAGACCCCACTCGGGGGCCTGGGGTTTGCCCCTGCTGGTCCCAGCCTTCACCCCAGGGCGGGCAGCAGGCCACATCCCAGCCGGCCGCGAGTGTTCGACGAGTAGAGGAACAAGAGCGAGTTCTGACACCAAGAACCGTATTCAAGGCCAAGTAGAAAGGGAACTAGAAAATCCTTTTATTCATATCAAAGAGCCAAACCCGGGAGAGCTGCTGGTGTGACTCACTGGCTGGCACCTGACTGGGTGTTCTGGACACTGCACAGACCCTGAGGCTACCCCTCACCCCCTACCCCCAATCCTCATGCCCCCCAAGGGGGGGTGGGGGCCCATGCAACCCCACAGGGAGGCGGGCTCGGGCCCGAATTCTGAGCACCTTGGCTTCTCCTGAAATGGCTCTGACTGCTGTGAGGGTCCCTGTTCCCCCCACGTTCTCTTCCTGCCCTTGGTGGCACGTATCTTCTGAGCTGGCCCACACACACACACACCCTCCGTGCCAACCCCTGCCTCCCCCCCAGCTTCCTCAGGGCGGGCAGGAGGGACACAGGGCTAGACTGGGCACTGCAGGCTCAGGGCACCGTGGGGGACAGGGCCGAGACGCTGGACGCCAGGGCCGTGGTCCACTCTGAGATCCCTGGGTCTCAGGGGTAGAGGGAGGGCTCTGCCTCCCCCTCCTCCCAGGGTGTGCTTCACAGGCTGCCGATGTTGGGGAAACTCTTCAGCTTCTCAGGAAAGTCGTCCTTATACAGAACGGGGTCGGCCCGGTGCTCGACCACCTTGAGGGGCATGGTCCCGAAGACTGAGGCAAACTTGTTGATGCACTCGGACCTGGGGAGAGGGAGAAAAGGAGGAGGAGAGGCGTCAAGAGGCTCCCGACCCCGGCCAGCCCACCCCGTAATCTTCTGCCCCCCAAACCCCCTCACCCCCGCCCCCCCACTGGCCCGGGAAAGAAGCACAGAGGGACCCAGGGGTGCCCGACTCTTCCAGCAGTGGGAGGAAGGGGGAGGGGTGCCCCGGTGAGGAGGCCCTGGGACCCCCGGTAGAGGTCAGCACAGCTCTTCCCCTCCCCCCTGGAATTCCAGAATTCCAGTCATTCCCGGGGCTCAGGGCTCAGCACTGCAGGCCTCAGACCAAGGTGGATCAGCGGCCAACCCTCCTTAACCCCGTCCCTGCCAGCTGGAGAGAGGCAAAGGGTGGAGAAGAGCGAGGTGCGGGGAGCCCGCCACAGTGGGGGTGGGTGCTGCTGGCCCTCACCACAAGGGCCGGCCCAGCGGGGTCCGTTTCCTGACCCCCACCAAGCCCAGGGAGTCGCCTCTTCCGGGTTCGGTGGGACCAGTTCTGGTCAGACAGCTGCAGGAGGACAAACTGGTATCAGGGCCACCAGGCCAGTGGGTCAGGCAGGCAGCGAAGGGGACACCTCCAGGGAGGATTTCAGAAAGGCCACCCCCACCTCCTCTGTCAGGTGTACTGCCCCCTGCCCCGCCCCATCCTGGCAGAGTCCAGCAACCCCAATCCACGGGTCTGTGTCAGAGAGCTCTCGGGGCCACAGGGAGAAGCTGTTGCTGGTCCCCTCGGGTTCTCCTCTGTGGGGTGCTGAGTTACCAGAAAAGCCCCACCCTGAGCCTATGTCCAGGTAAGCTGGGTCATCAAGTTCACAGAGCAACACCAGGGTCAGATGACGTGTGCCGGACTGGCTTCCTTCCAGGGCCTTTCTATCCTCCAGAACCCCTCTCTGTGCCCCCACAATGGACTGACGGGGACGGTGCTACTAACACCCCCACGTCCCACTGGACCAGAGTCAAAATATGAGGAAGAGGAAAAAAGCCCAAGGCCGGCATCCCGGCTCCTGAGGCTAAGTCTTAATTGAGAGGTGACATGAATTCATTGAACATAATTCTTGGGTTGCAGTTAAAAACCGCTGGGCGCCCATTACCTGCCCCATAATTTACATGCATGACCATTTTGATTTCCTCCAAAGTATTCCCCTCTCCACACCCAAGGGCAGGGTCCACAGTAGCTCTACATTATAGGGCGGAGGACCACGCGGGGCTGGCAGAGATTAAGTGCCCAGACTGAGGGAGGACCCAGTGCTGGTTCCCAGCTGGGCTCGAGCCTCTGCCCTTCCCATCCCCTTCCAGAACCCGCGGGGAATGGAGAGGTCCCAGGCTGGCAGGTTCTGAAGGTAGCGATCAAGTTTCCAAAGAGAGGAGCAAACAGTACAGCAGGGTTAGGTGGCCTGGCACGTGGCTGACCCGGGGTTTGATCCCCAGCATCCCATATGGTTCCCAGGGCACGGCTAAGAGTGATTCCTGGGTGCAGAGCCAGGAGTAACCCACCCTGGGCATCACCGGGTGTGACAGCTCCCAACCAAACCCCAAACCAAATCAGAGATGTGGGGCTGGGGACAGACAGAGACGCCACATTCTTGGGGTCATGGAGGCTACTCTTGGCTCAGTGCTTGGGGGTGGGTGGCTCCTGACAGTGCCTGGGAGACTGTGTGGTGCTGGGGTTCAAACCCGGGGCTCTAGCGTGCAAAGCGCATACTCTAGCCCTATGCGCCATCTCTTCGGCCCTCGGGGGACATTGTCCGAAGTGTTGAGCCCTGCCACTGCCTGGTAACCTGTCACTCATGGGCCAGAGCAGTACAGCATGGCGGGGTGTGGGCATAAACACTGCCTAGGCCCCAGCATAGGGATTGTTGGGGAGTGCCCCCCCCCCCCCAATCAAGGTTGCTCTCCTGAAACATCAGGGTCGAAGCTTTGCAAAGGTATGCCGGCAAACAAGGAGATGCTGCTTGTTTCCGGCCACTGTACCCATGGAGAATGATGGCTGCTGGCAGAACGGGGTGGTCCCTGGCACCTCGGGGAAACTGTGGACCGGGGGGACCGCTTAGCGCTCCCCTTGCCTGCCCTCAGCCTCCTCCAGCTCACCCTGAGACTCTCCTGGCAGCTTCCCACAGCACTTCTCGCAATCTTCCCACACAGGGGAGCCGGGCAGCAGGACAGGCCACAGGAGAGTATGTGGGACATGCTGCTGGGAGTCCACCGAACGGTCACCTGGGCCGCTATTCTGCAGCCTCTGCATCTGCTGCGTGTTTTTCTAGAATACCCTGAGAACCCTCACAAGTCTCCCCTATAGTGCTGAGGGTGTCTTGGGAGGGGAGGGGTGGGTAGAAAGCACCTGGGATGTTTTCCTGTTACACACACACACACACACACACACACACACACACACACACACACACATCCCAGGAACCAGAGGCCCTTAGGGTCACTGCTGGGGAAACACCATGGCCACCTTCCACACACTGTTATTTCATCACACCCCGGCTGCAGCATCCAATAAAGGCTGGCGGAACCTCTAAGTGGAATTACAGTCGGTGGCTACTAAGAGTCTGTGGATAGTCACCCGTGCAATAAACAGCAGCGTCCCCATGTTAGGGGCCACAATGCTCTGCAGGGCAGCCGAGGTAAGCCGACCTGCTCAAGTCACAGAGCGAGTCAGTGTTAAATTTACTGTCTGGACAAAGACGGCCTTGGATCAGAATACTGCCTTTATTTTGTTTTGTTTGGGGGGGGGAGGGGTCACCAGCAGTGGGACTCAGGGTTTACGCCTGGCTCTGCGCTCAGGGGTCACTCCTGGCAGGGCTTATGGGGATCACATGGGGTGCCGGGGATGGTCTCCAGGCCGCCTGCACATGAGGCACAAATGCCCGCCCTGCTGTCCTACTGGCTCTGGCCCTGCTTTATTTTTTAATTCAACTGCCACGACTCTCTTGACCCTCGTGAAGGCACTGATGAGAACGACCAACAACAAATTCTTCTGGCTTTAAAGAATTAAGAATCAATCTTGGAACCGGATGCCAGACTGTGAAAGTGACTCTTTCAGGCAACTGAGAGTCCTGATCTTGGACCCCAAATTTAAATAAGCTTCAAAGAATAAATAAGCTTACTGAACCACACAACCTAACAGCATTAAGCTTGGAACTTGCAGAGTGCTCAACTCTTTACTGTTTTGTGCAATGTGTGCTTCGCCACCCTCCCACCCCCACAAAGGGAACTACAGAAAAAAACAAAAGGAGGCTGGAGGAATAGCACAGCGGGGAGGGCATTTGCCCTGCACACGGGCAACCCGGATTCGATCCCCGACATTCCATATGGTCCCCCGAGCACCGCCAGGAGTAATTCCTGAGTGAAGAGCCAGGAGTAACCCCTGAGCTTCGCTGGGTGTGACCCCAAAAGACCCCCCCAAAAAGAAAATAAAAAAAAGCAAAGGAACAATTCCACAGTTGGGACATCCCCTCGAGAAACAATATCCTCCCTCCTTTCCGGTCTAAGGGTCTTATTTAGTGATTCAGTGATCCACCCTCTAATCTAAACAGCCTTGTTTCCAGATTCTACCTGACGTCAAGACTGAGCTCTGAGGTGCAAGAGAGCAGGGCCAGGGTGCCTGCCTTGCACACAGTTGACCTTGATGTGATTTTCAGTATGCACGTAGTAAGCCAAGCACCACTAGGAGGGTTCCCTGAGCACAGATCCAGGAATAAACCCAGAGCACAGCTGGATGTGACCCAACACCCTCCCACCACCAAAAAATGTTATTCTCTTTTTTTTTCTTTTTGGGTCACACCCAGCAATACTCAGGGGTCACTCCTGGCTTGCACTCAGGAATTACTCCTAGCAGTGCCTTGGGGGACCATATAGGATCCTGGGGATCAAACCAGAGTCTGATCAGGTTTGGCTAGGCAAACACCCTACCTGCTGTGCTATTGCTCCACCCACTGCACCTCTCCCACAAAGTTGTTTTTTTTTTTTTAAGATTGATTTAGTTACATCTTCTATCAGAATTCCTAACGGGTTAGTCAGACTCACTCTCTGCCCACCCCCAGCTCAGACTCTCCGGCTCTGGTGGTGCCTGTTCAATCGGTGCCCTGCTCCAGTCTGCAGGCTCCCAGTTCCTCCCTGGGCCCATGAGCTCAGATAAGATGGAGCCTAGGTCCTGCAGGGCCTCTCTAGAAGATGCTGAATGACTCTCCAGTGCTGATTCTTCTCTAGCTCCTTAAGGTCTGGATTCCTCAATGTTCTGCCCCCTGACTTTTTTAAAAATTTTATTTTCATAAGGTTGTTCACATTAGTTGATTGCATTCAATATTTCAACACCAATCCCACCACCATTACACCTTTCCACCACCATTATCTTGAATTTCCCACCACCAGAATTTATTTTCAATTGCTTATTATGAATATAATGAGAAGTCATGCGGCCGCCTTTGTGGCCGCACACTTCTGGAATTCTAAAATCGTAAATGGTTGGGGTCCAGAGACATCTCTGTAGGGAGCTAATCCATTTTGAGATTCATTTGTTTGTCACTGGATCAAGGCTGTTGATGTGTTGAGATGGTGCCCGGAGGCAGATCGTGGGTGTGACAGCCAGAACCCCAAGGGGGTGGGGAGACAGGGAGGGGTGACCCATCTCTGCTACCACCATGTGGCCTGGAGTCTTAGTCCTTAAATTCACGTATCTGGGTTTTGCTTCTGGAAGCTCATGGCCATCGGGGTTTCATCTGGAGTGGGCAGAGAGGGCTCCATCTGAGGTGCGCCAGTGGAACTGACTTGGTAAGGGGTCCAGAGAGATCTCCGGTGAGCTACTGTTCTACTGTCTTCTGGGATTCACTGCTGTGTCTCCTGTTCCTGACTTTTTCACCCGGTTGCTTCCCACGACCAGATGTCTTCCCCAAATCCTCATTTTAAATTTTCCTTCTAAAGTTCTTGCACCACATTGCTAAGGCCATGCTCCCTGTCCCTGTCTGCAGATAACTCAAGTGCACGACCCCCAAGCCATTGACTCCGCCCAAGCCTAACACCTTCTGCTGCCCTTAGGAATCACATGGTCTGAGGGGCAAGCCAGTCACAGCAGTGCCCCTGTCTTATGTAACATCAGAATCAGAGTGAACACTCTGTCAACTCCTTCTTCATCACCTCTGCCTTTCTGTCTGGGTGAAAATCAAGCTTGGGGAGAAAAGAGAATCTTGCAATTTAATCCTTCTCCTTCTTTCTGCATTGTTTCATCGAAGCCTTAGAACTGTTCCTTCTTCCATCTTGTCATCCCATGCACTACTGTATCCTACACACTACTCGGTCTTACTAAGCAAACCCACACGCTTTATTCTACCATATGTACTATTCTATCCTACATACTACTCAAGCCACACGTTATCATATTACACTACACATTATTCTAACTATGTGCTACTCTGTCTCGCATTACTTATTCTATGCTACGTACTATTCAAGCTACACACTGCTCTATCCTACATTCTATCCTCTATGCTACTCTACCCCATGAACTCTGAAACTACACGCTACTCTGTCCAATGTTCTACTCAAGCGACACACAATTCTATGCTATGTGCTACTCTGTTCTAAACACTACTCCCAAATGAATCTCAAAGCAACACTCAAGTCAAGTTGCTCCCTATTGAAAAACCTCAATGGCTTACCAGAGTGTACAGAATGAAGGCCCAGACGTCTCCAGTGGGTAGTCAAGACTTTCTGCAGTTTGGCTGGAATGAGTTATCTGCCTCAGCCCAGCCGCACCCCCGAGCCGCTTGCCAAATACACGTCGCCTTGCTGGCTGGCACCTCTGACCCTCATGCCTCTCCCGCCTCCGGCACAGACCTCTCATCTTGTCCACTGTTGCCGGGCAGAACCTGACTGTTCTCTGGAGACTGATGGTCAGAGTTGGCTCTTTTAAGAAACGATTCCTAATTCCTAACTTAGCAAGAGGCACTGTTCCCTCCTTTGAACCAGGATAACGCTTCAAGTCTCATGGCACTTAGGAGGGAAAACTCTGATTAAGCTGCACACACATTTACTAGAATTCAATTCAATTTTATTTTATTACAGTTATCTCTACACCTCACATTCGAGATGTGTGTGTGTGTGTGTGTGTGCAATTTGTTGCTATTAATTATAGGCTCGGGAATAATCTGACTGAGTCAAAGAACATCTAGGCTATCGCCTATTTTATTCTCTAAAGCTTCTTTTCAAAGAGGAGAGTTCTACGCTCTTTTCTTCAGCGTTTAAGAATAATTCTATCCCACTTACATGCCTCTCGCTGCATGTTGAGGCTTTTTACATGTGTTGTCATCTCCCTGACGCCAGATAAGAATTGTTCAGCCTCTGCACTAATGTCATTGACATTGTCAGGCCAACTTCTCCTTCTAAGTCCTTTTGGAAGCACAGAGCCCCACCATATTAACTTTGCCCAACCAATAACCTATTAGTTTAGTGCGATGAATTCCCCAAAATACAGAGCATGGGATCAGACTTAATAGTGGTTTTCTTGGACCACAGCGATGGAACAGAAGGTAGGGCACTTGCCTTGCACGAGGCCAACCAGATTTTATCCCTGGCACACCACATGGTCCCACGATCCCATCAAGAGCACATCCTGAGCCCACCCTGAGCCTACCCTGAACCCACCCCAAGCACAGAGCCAGGACTAAACCCTGAGAACAGCCAGGGGCAGTGGTCCAAAAACAAACAAATAAAGCATGGTTTTCTTGGACTCCACTAAACTAGAATTGGGGTCCCTTTCAAATGATCTAGACAGTTAATTGTTGAGTTCTTGACTGTGTCATACGTACAAGTGTGAATAACATTTCCAGAATCATAACATAGCTACTTCTCACTGACAGTGGCAAAATGCACATAATTTGAGTAAGAAATATGAGTGGATAGCATTTAGAGAGTAGCAGTAAGAAGAGAAGGAGTAAGGCATGACATTAGAGAAGAATGAAGCCAACTGAACTTTCTGTACGAGACCCAAAAAAAAAAAAATTAGAAATCCCTCTCTGCTTGAAGGATTTTAATATTGCTGACAGATTTCAGAAATGAATGGCTGCAAGCAGATGTGTATGTGACTGGTGGAGACTGGAAGGGGATGTCTTATTCTGGAAGGGCCTGTAACACACTCTGACAGCCTTCCAGTCCCTTGACGCTAGAGCTACTGGATATCAGAAGGAGTTTACTGTCTTGCATAAAGAACTGCCTTTTGGAAGAACCCGACTGAATGCAGGAGCCTGGAAGTTTGGGGACTTTGGGGATACATGTGAGACTGATTATATCTACTGCCCAGCAGTGATGGCCTCTCCTGCCCCTCCCAGGCCTCCTGTGCCATATTCCACCCCGAGATGCACCCCCGAGTAAGTGAATCTCAATGCAGGGAGCGTCCCGGAGGCCCCCACCCACCCACTCACCCACCCACCCACGGAGCTGCTGTGCAGCTCTGTTCCTGCAAAACGCTTTGGCTGTACCCACAAAAGCAAAGCTAACCTGTCTTTGGTGGGTCTGGTGTAAATTTTTAGAATCCGATTTTTACTCGAGCGTGGAAATGGCAGCCCTGTAAAACCAGCCAGTGATTTCCCTGGACTGAACCAGCTCCCTGCTCACGTGACTGCGGACGGATGCCTCACGGCACAGCCTGCTCGGAGCATCCTTGGGTTCCAGAGCTTAAGGCCGGCTGTACTTTTTAAGACCCTTCCAGCCATTACAAATTGAGCGAGGAGCATTCCAAATTAATTCTTGGGTGACCTGGGCCTGAACTAACCCAAATTCCCACACTGCAGAGAGGCGATGGCTAGGGCGGCCAGCTGCCGTCCTTCTATCTCCAGCCAAATCCCATAAACGAGGCCTGGGCAGGGAAGGGGCCTCAGCGGCAAGGGCGGGCTCACTCACTCACCTCTCCACCATGTGTGTCTGGTCCAGCGAGAGCCCGTCGATGGCCGTGCACTCGGGACATTTGAATTTCTTTCGTGGTGTTACCTGCCGGAGCAGCAGAAAAACATACCCAGCCATCAGCTCCCTGGGCTGTGAAATCGGGCTTGTGGCCCCATGCGACATGCTTGCTGTGTTCTGTAAGTGGAGAGGCAGGTCCCCCCGTGTGCAAACACACACACACACACACACACACACACACGCGCACACACACATGTACACATGCACGCGCACACACGCACATGCATGCACGCATGCACACACGTGTGGGCGCACACACCTCACGCTCCTCCCTTCAATCCTGTCTGGCTTGGCCAAGGGCAGAACTCACCAGGGCCCAATAAAAAAAAAAAAGGCTTGGAAGGCTTTTGCCTTCTGTAACGGGAAAGAAGTGGTGATGACAAGCTCCTTAATTCCTGTTTAATGACTGTTTTCTCACTGCCAAGGTCCTTGTATAAACACCATTTGTTCTTGCAGCCATAAGGGCGATGAAATACAGCTTCCCATAACTTTCACCGTAACCTTCCTCCCCACGGGCGCTCGCTGTCTGCCGAGCTCATGGCGAACGCCCTGAGCAGCGGCCCATTCTGGGCGGGACTGGGGTCCTCGGCCATTACCGCGAACTGGGGAAAGAATTCAAGGGCCCCTTACATGCTGTCTCTCCCTCCCACCCGCCCAAATCTTCAACTTGGAATGGGTTCTTTTCAAGTGAGCTTGTGGGGGGCAGGGGGGAGGTGGAGGGGCTGCTCCCCAAACATAGTCTATACTAGAGAGAAAAGTCAGCCACCAGGGCAAGGCTAAGGCACTAGGAATCCCTAGTTCTGAGGAGGAGGAGGCAGACACAGCTGAAAAACATCCTGAAGCCTGTCAAAAAGGCAAATTTGGTACAGACTTCCGTGCAACAGCCAGGATGTCCACATGGCCATGTACATATGTACCTGCATGCACTGATACTTTTACACACACACACACACACACACACACACACACACACACACACACACACACACACTCGAGTCTTTCTGCTCCTGAATTTCTCTGCTGAACAACTTGGCCCCTGTTTGGTGTTCTTATGATCTTTATTAGTACTTGAATAAACATGTGGAGAAAAGACATAACAAAAAAAATGCCCTTAAAAAAAAAAAGGCAAATTTTGAGATTGGAAAGGGGCGGGGTGGGGAGGGGGAGAGGGGGCAGGACCCAGTGTTCATTTAAAACTAATCTCTCGATTTACATTCTTTGGTTTCCCTTGGTGAGACAGAGGCTCACTGAGTGATTTAGAGCTGGGGGTGGGGTAAGGACGGGGTCAAGTCATGCGAGACGAGAGGACAGTCAGGCTCCTCTGGCTCTTCAGTCCCTTTGGCTTCGCTCACCCACGGAAGGCGAAAGACGAGCACAGGTGGGGTCCGAGTTCCCAAGCGCAGCTC